CCCCTACACCCCCCGCCCCTCCAACCCCCGCCGCACCTGCCGCTCCGTCCGCACGTCCGGGTGCATGCCCCCGCCCTCCCGCGTGAGCGCCAGCAGCCGCCGCAGCGGGAACAGCAGCCGGTGCAGCCCCTCCTGTGAGTCAAACTCCTTGCACACCACGCGCGTGCTGAGGGCGTGGTCAAGAAACAGCGCGCCGTTCTTGCGCGCGACGTCGCTGCCGCTGGTGAGCAGCGACAGGGCGGCCGCGACCATCTCGCGGGGCACGGGGGCCGGCAGCGCGCAGGCGCGCTCGAAGGCGAGGGGCAGGGCGGCGAGGCCGAAGAGGGCGAGGGAGAGGCCCGGGTAAGAGTGCTGGTTCCTGACGGGGGCGGATGCAAGGGGGGGGGAACGAAACGGATTCCTTGAAAACTATGCAATTGTGCTATATATTTGCAATGCGCCGAGTATCTTCTCAGCGCCAATTGCCGGCAGCACAACGCTCGACAGACCGGCTCTGCAGCCCATGCATTCAGGCAAGCTGGCGCCTCCTTGCCGCTGCCGGCGCCCAGACGCCGCACGGCGGGCGGAAGCCGCAGGGGCGCGTGCACCCACCTCGGCAGAGCCAGCAGCAGCTGCACGCCGCCCGCCTCGACCAGCAGCTCAGCAAACTTGCGGTGCGCCAGCAGCGAGCACACCACTTGCAGCGCCTCGTGCATGAGCCACCCCAGCCGCTGCGCCGCCGCGCCGCCACCTCCGCCGCCGCCGCGCGCGCCGCCGCCCGCGGCGGAGGCGGCTCGGATGTGGCGCAGCAGCGTGCAGACGGTGTCGACGCCGCAAAACTGGAGGAAGGGGCCGAGGGACTCGACGTACTCGCCAGTGCACATCAGGCAGCGCAGCGCCGCCAGCAGCCGCTGCTGCCGCACGTGCGCGACCTCCGGTGACTCCCCCTCGCCGCCACCGGCCGCGGGGCCGTCGTCCGCCGACGCCCCTGCCGCCGCAGCACCGCTGCTGCCGGCCGCGCCGCCGGGCGCGCCAGCTGCCATGGCGGTCACCGCGCGCCTCAGGTACCGGCAGGCCGCCGGCACGAGGGGCGTGCGAACTGCCTCATCAGCGTACTCCTCATTAGTCAGCGCAATGCTCAGGACGCCTGGCGGGTGACGTTGCGTACGCGCGCACACGGGAGAGACTGAGAGGCAGAGCTGGGGCTGGAATCGCCCCAGCTGGCATGACCGTGACATTGTGCGTACCGTTTCTGCGCCTCACCCTTGGCCTGCCAGCGCCACGGCCCCGCCGCAACCAGCATTACGTGTTTGAGAACCCACTGCCCAAGAAATTGTTCGCCCGCGTGCGTCCGCACTCGCACACGTGCGTGCACACTCGCAAATTTACACACACACACACACACGCACACACACACACACACACACATGCATACACATACACACACATACACATACACATACACATACACATACACATACACACACGCGCGCAAACACACACTTACATACACATGCGCACGCGCACGCGAGCCGCCCCCTCACCCAGCGCGTACGCCTGCCGCGCCTCCTCCAGCATCTCCTGCCGCCCCCCCGGCGCCCCCTCCCCCGGCAGCGGCGCCTTCTCAAGCCCGGCCACGCTCCAGTGGCCCAGCCGCTCCACCAGGGCCTCCTCCGTCAGGGGGTACTGGAACAGCCAGCACTCGAGCGTCGCCAGCAGCAGCCGCAGGCCCGCGACCTGCGGGGGGCGGCGCGGTGGCGCAGGGGTGCAAATTGACCTATCAGGAGGTGGCAGTCAACCATACAGGGCGTGGGGTTCACCAAGACAGGGCATGGGGCATGGGAAATGGCGGTCAACCAACCAGGGCATGGCGGTTGACCGGGGCGAAAATCACAGGTCCGGCCTCTATGAATTCTCAAGCTCAGGGTGAAGAGGTGGGATGGGTATGGGGCGACGAAGGGCGACGCTGGGTGCTGCGTGAGCGACAAGGCTGTCAGGGTGACTGGCAATGGAAGATGGAGGGGCGGAGGGCGTGAGTCACCTGCTGCTCGAGTGTGGCGTTGCGCGATTGCACCCAGGTGTCGCAGATCTTGTCATACACATCCTCCTCTTCCTGCAAACGGGTCACAGGGTGAGGGCAGGGCGCGGCGACGGGCATGGGCCGGGCTCATGAGGGTGCTGCTGCTGTTGCGTGCTGTTGCACTGCAGGCGCACAGGGACCAAAAACGGATCTCATTCGGTGGTCGTGATCTGCGGCGGTTGCTAGGGGCCGCAGCGTTCTTCACAGAGCATAGGATTGGGTTGTGACACGCGCTGGGGCCGCGAGGGGACCTCGGCGGGGTCAGCTGTCGCCCGTGGTTTGAACGAGTGACGTCATCAACCGGTCGCAGAGCGGCAACGATGCACAGGCGGGCGGGCGCCGCAGCGCCGCCGCTCGTAATCACTTCATGCGCCTCCAGCGCGGCCCTCTGCCCCGCTGCCCCGCCGCTGGCACTCCTGCGCCGCCCCCCTCGCCCCTGCCACCACCGAAGAGCGTCACCAGGGGCATAGCAACATCGAGCCAGCCCACTGCGGCGCGGGGGGCGCACCTTGATGAACGCCAGGATCTTTCCCACGGTGTAGTGGTTTCTGAGGCTTGGGTTGGCATGCGGGTCACCCACAACAGCGCGGTACTTGGCCTCCTCGGCCTCCAGCAGGGCCGCAAGCCGGTGGGCGGCGAAGCACTGCTCGTCAGCGCCGCCTTCGTCCAGGGCCCGCAGCAGGCCCAAGATGACCTGCAGGTCGCGTCATAAGAGCAATTGCATCACTCGAGCGCCCGACAGGCCTCGTTAGGACCTCGCAGAACGCTGCGCACCTCGTGGCTTATGACCGCAGGCAGGGCAGGCAGCGGCCTGCCCGCCAGGTGCACTGAAGACATCGGCAGCTATAACATCCGCAACATAAGAGACCGGGAGGTCATGCCGATGCAGTGAAAAGAAGCTGATCTGGGGCCTCAAAAAGCAGGGATCTGATCAGTTAATCAGCCTTGTTGACATACGGTTGGCACACTGGCAGGTCTTGGCCTGAAGGGGGGCTTTGTCTACGAGTGCCATTGACACTGGTGACCCACCGCAACTCTGCCTGCCTCAAAGAATGCTGCCTTGGGCCTTTACATGGGTATAGATTTCGTGAAATCGAGCATTGATTTTCTGAAAGAATTATCCTCAAATACACCGCGGCAGATCTGTTCGCGAGGCCAGGGGAGGAGGCTGCCGACCCTAGGCCTGGGAAGCATCTCAGGAGCAGCCGAGATGGGTGGGGGCGACAGCTACCGGCCGTCAGGACACCACTACTTCAAGGGTGCGAAGCGCGCAAGCGCTTCGCGCTGATGCGCTGCGCTGCTGCAGAGCATCCTCGAACTGCCCCAGAGTGCCACGCGTCGTCGACCGCCCTCCCCATGCACGGCATGCAGAGGTGTGGAGCCCCTCTGGCGGCTGGTGGTGCGACCCCAAGGGCTGGCGGCGGAACACTGCGATTGCGGTCGGGTGCGCATTCGCGCCGCGTGCGCAGCAACCAGCAGCTGGCCGTTGACAGCAACAGCAATGTGCGCACGAGCAGCGCTCTGACGCGTCTGGCAGCCCCTTTTGCCAACACCCAACAATACTACCAGTGTACAGTAACTGAGTACAAAGCAGGAAGTGTACGGCGTAGCGTGAGCGACGCGAAGCGCCCCCCTGTGCCTGGGCTCTGGGCACCCCGCCGAGCGCCCTCCGCTTGCTCGCCTCTGTTGCCGCGCACAGGCTGTTCTTGGTTGCTGAATACTACGTCTTCAAGTATTCAGCGGAGAATGAGGTGAGTCTGGCCAGCGCACAGCCGAAGGCTGCCTGAGCGTCACAATTGCTGCAGCGGGCGTCACTGCTGCCCTTCAGGCAGGTTTGACCTGCGGCGGAGCGCCCGGCTGTTCGCTGCGATGCAGCTGAACAAATTTCGCATCAAGTGGATCCAGCCTGTGACCTGCAAACCTGTAGGCAGCCCTGCTGGTGCTCAATCACCCCCCTCCCCCCCCTGCTCACGCTTGCCCGTGCAGAAGCGTTACCTGGCCCCCAAGCAGTGGGTGCCCAGCATGCTGTACGTGAAGAAGTACCCCGAGCCGCCGGCCGACTCATAGGGCAGCACCTCACGCGCAAGAAGCCGCGCAGCTTGGCGCGCTGCGGCGAGGGACGCCGCGATGCAGCGCGCAGCTGGCGCGGCCAGATGGCGAGTCGAGCGGTGCTCGGCTGCAGCTCATCGACACCAATGCCTCCGCAGCCATCGCTGCATCCGCGGCTGCGCGCCAGCGGGGGGCCGTACACTCAAAAGCTTGATCTAGGAGTTTGTTTCTTCAGCTTTGCAATGTAACTTTTGCTTGTCCAATTGACAGGGGACTGCCCGCCTGCTGTGCTGGTGCACCTGACCAGCGACGTGGCCGGACAAGTGGCGTCAGCTACCCTCCGCCAGGCTCTATGGCAGCTGCAGGCGCCACAGGAGCGGCCACAGCCTCCTGTACACCGGGGTGGCCGCCGTCATCGACGCCCTGAGTTGCCGCCTGCTGCCGCCGCCGCCTCTTCCAGCACCAGACACAACACCGCAGCGCCTGTGTGGCAGCACGGCGTCGAGTCCTTGTCAGCGGTGAGGGAGGTGAGCGATGCCGGCTGTGCGACCAAATTGAGCAGTCAACAAAGTCGACTCGGCCAGCAGGAGGGTCAACATTTCGGTTAACGATGCTCACCAGGAAGGCAATACTCAGGTGCAGCAGCGTGGCTGGCTGCCCCGTCAGCTCCGCCACGGTGGCCTCCCCGTCGGTGCGCTCGCAGCGCCAGCCGCCGCACGCGCTGGGGTGCGCGTCGCAGTGCGCCGCGATGCCCGTGGGCGCAAGCGGTGGGCGGCCCTTGCGAAGGTTGGAGGGCAACCGGCAAGGCGTTTTTGACAATGGGCGGGTGGAAAAGGGCAGGTGGACAAGGCTTTTTGACAATGGGCGGGTAGTACCACAACATGCGGGACGTCCACCCATGTGGGCAGTTGACACGTGATCTGCGCATCACACCGCACCCTGACCACAAGGCCCCACGTGCAGCCGGCTGACCGCCGTGGCTCGCCCCCTCACCAGCGCGCGAGACAGGAAGCGCAGCAGCGGCTCGAGCTTGTGGCGGCCACGGTAGCGGTAGCGCTTGCCCTGTGAAAGTGCACAGAAGGCGGCGCTGCATCCATGAGTCTGCAGGCTGCGGCAGCCACGGGGCGCCAAGTGGCGGCGCTCCCTGCAGTTCACCCCGTCTGCCTGATGCGCCTTGGTGGCGTTGGGCAGCCCCTGCAAACAGGGCCAGTGCCACCACGCAGCGCTTAAGAGGGTGGAAGGGGACGAGAGTACCTGGCACGCACCTTGATGGAGACCTGCAGGACTGGCAGCGCGTGCAGTGTGTTCGTCATCAGCTGCAGCAGGCTGAGGTCTCCATACTCAACCGACACAAACATCACCTGTGTGTGGCATGGCAGGGGCACTGTTGAAGTCTCCAACACAAGAGGCGAAGAGGGGGTGGAGGGGGGCACATCATAGGCATGAAGGGCAAGCAGGGGCGGCACCAGCGATGATATCGATGCTACACGACGCATGGCGGGGCGGCCGTCGCATGCCGTGGCGCGGGCAAAGCCAGCGCTGCCCCACTGCACGTCCGCATACTACCGCACCTCCGTTGGGAAGAAGGCAGGGAGGCACTCGGCAACCGGTTTCAAAGCTCTGGGGAGGAGGGATGCGTGATCGTGGAAGGGGTCAGCACACGAGGCACGGCCCGCCAAGGTTGTCAGGGCAGTGTATCAGCGCCAGCATCCGCGGGCAGCAGCTGCACGGTGCTGCTTGATGGAGCGGCTGAGTTGCCACGACGCAGGAGCCGGTGCCGCTCACATCGAATTGGGGCAGCCTTCCAGGTAGAAGAAGGTCACCAGCTGCTGCTGGGGGTCCCCCGTCAGCGCCTGCTCTAACAGGAGGTTATGGAGCCTGAGGTGGTGGGTGACCCAAGGGCACGTGAGGCTGCGTGCGATTCAGCTGAACTCAGTCTGACCTCGAGAGCCTTGACACGGCACGCATCATGGCAGCGGCAGTTGGCGCGGTCGCCAGCATCGCGTGCACGGCGGCAGACTTGCACTCAGGAGACCCGCTTGCCAGAGCCCCACCCTGGCAGGCTGCCCGTGTACTCACTCGTCACCAGTCACAGGAATCAAAGCGTTGCCAGAAGGAAACTCCCGCTCCTGCCTTTGTGGACCATACAACATCGGCGGCCTGCACATATTTGCAGCAGGCGCAGCTGCGGGCGCCGCTGCAGCCGCTGGGGGTGCTAACGCAGAGGCTGCCTGGAACAACGCTAGTAAGCCCCATATCAGAAGCGCTGTCGTCGTCCACATTATAGGCGACTAGCTAACAGCATCCGACGCGATATGCGGTACCATATGCGATCTCGAATGATCAGCAGATCCAACGACAAGCGAATGTCAAGAAGTGAAGCTGAGCTACTCGCGCGAGCTTGACATTCTTTCGATATAACCTCACGCTCTCTTGCAAGGAGGCGCACATGCGACAGCAGACAGCCACACTCATCAAAGAGTCAACAAGCTGTGCTCCAGAGTCAAATTGCATCATTGCGCAACGGGTGTATAGCAGAGACATTTGCATGTCCGACAAGCTCTTGCCCTGCTGTCTGGGCTCCCTAATTGCATCTAGCGGTGAGGCTTGATGCTTCAGCTCGCATTGTCATTTTGATTCAGCACTTGATCAGACCTCCATCGAAGTACCAGCAGCCGCACATCCATGACCACACCCCCCCCCACACACACACACACACAAGCGCAGACACATTTCCGCACGCTCTCACATGCAAATGGAGGTGATTGACCGCAGCTGCAAGCAATTCTCAATTCTGTCCAAGATGTGAGACCCTTTGTACGCTCTGAGACAATGTTGTTACTGAATTGGCACGCATGGGCATGCCAGCAGGCAGTAGTTCTCTGGTTTGGGGGCAGTGCCACTTAAGATGTGTACTCAAGGGCTGGGGCATTGTACGCACCCGCCCAACTTAGACAACTCCAGGATTCCAGAGCGACGTTGCGTGCCCTGTACAGGCATATATATATCAAACTGTCAGGTGTACGTTCCCTGTCGCAAAACTGCAGTGGCTGTGCGGATACTCCGACCAACCGGACAGCACAAGAGTCGGCAGGGCAGGGGGTACGGTGTTGTGCATTGTGGGTACAGAAGGGCGACCAACGCCCAAAGGTAGGAGCACATAGGATTCAATTTAGGAAAGGAGGACAACCAAGCACAAGGAGCCAGGGCGGGAAGCCTGCTCTGAGAGGGTGCAGGGCCCTGGGCAAAAAAACCTCCCTAAAAAGCGGGTGTCGTGCCCAGAAAGGATTATCCCCGGGGTTGCAATGTATTCAGTTTCATTGTTTGCCAGCAGCTGTACGCCCACAACTCAAAATTGATGCCTCGCGGCGCGCCTTCACGCCTCAGTCAAGCAGGCGCGGTGCGCGAGGCGCGCGGCAGCCGCCCCAGCGTAGGGCCGCCCAGCCGGGTGTGGCGCCCTGGAGGGCGCTCCTGGTGCCGGCCACAAAGCCAGCCGCGCCGCACCCAACGCCGCGCAGCGTATGGGACGGCGACGCCGCGCAGCCTGCACCCCAGGGATGCTGACGTGCGGCCACGCCATCCGAGGCTCCCACCTGCTGCTGCTGCCTCATCTTTGCGAAACCGTGAGCCTCTGAAATCACAGGGTGCGCGCCCGTGCCACAGCACATGAGCAGCGAGTGGGCCGCGAGCACCACGGCTGCGAACACACCCCGCAGGGCCAGCAGCGGCGCCGCCACGCCCGCCGCCAGCCGCAACGCCGCGCAGAGCGTCATCTCGTCAACCGCGGCGCAAGCGCGCGCTTCGCACACACGGGCGCGCCGGTACTCCAGAGCGCGGGGCCCAAGCGCCGCGGCGCACGCCGCACGCGCAGCCTCGCAGGCCGCTGTTCTGACCTGCAGCGCGTGAAGCTGGACAGCCACGTCGCGGATTGTGCGGCTGAGGAACCCAGTGCAGTGGGGGTCGGCGTTGTTTGCACGAATCAGCGCCGCGGCCGCGTCGGGGTCGCGAAGCGCGTCGGCCGCGCCGCGCAGTCCCGCAAGCACGTCGTCCGCAGGCATCACGCCAGCCGGCCTCGCGCGCCGCGGGCCGCGCGCAGCCGGCGCCGGGGCCGCCGCCGGCAGCGCCGCGCGTCCGGCGAGCAGCGCGCCCAGCACGGCCAGGTCGCC